TTGTTTACTATGAAATAAAACCCAATTTATACAACAATCTAATATATATATAGTAAACAATTCCTTTAATGAACAGGTTATTGATATTTGTTTAATAGAGATTTGTGTTGAAAAACATAAACATTTCACTCATAATAGCAGACATTCACTCGTAATCTAATGAAACTTTCCTACACTTCACAGACATTGGGTGCACCGCTTAGGGCTTCCGGTAAACTACAAGTGAATGTTCTGTTGAAACCAATTTCACTCATTCCGTAAGAATTAATAAATATTTACCTTATAATTGAGACTTTTTGGGTTAACCTGCATTTATTACACAAATCAGAGCCTTTCGCTATGTTAAGGAAGCGGTGGTGCCGTTGGTATGGCTCGACGAGGTAATTGAGACTCAATTATTAATTTATAATAAAATGTATTTTTTGTTTCAAAAATAACAATTTGAATTTAATTTATAAAATCTATTTTTGTTTGTTGACAGAGTAAGTTTAAAATATTAAAATTACACTCAATTTTGCATTAAAGTAGTTGTGCAACTACAGTAATCAAAATTAATAATAGTTTGGAAAATGAAATTTCTAAACACAGTATTATATTACTTGTTATGTTTATCTAGGAGTTATTCATTAATATTAAATAAAGAAAATAGAATATTATATAATGTTCATGAAATGCAATATTCAGTAGTACAGTGTGTAAGCATTGAAACAGAAATAATAAAATATACTTCTTATAAATATAAATGAATTCATTCACATCTTCTATAAACAAAGTTTTTTTTAATTCAATTAACTTGAAATTATTTATTATACGTTCACAAAAAACATTACAATTCAAGCGTAAACATCAGAATTCAATTTTTTAAAAGATATAAATAGAAATTATAATTGAATTTTGTAGACATTTAATTGAAATAAGCAAATAACACAATTCTTTCGGTGCATTTGACTAATGTATGATTATTTTTTATATAATATGTCTTAAGTGTATGGGATTAATAATAAATTATTAAACAAGTCTAGACAGTGAATTTAATAAACTATATTTTTATAATCAATTTAAAGTTCGTTGAAATCGATGATAAAGTAGAGCTAATGATAAAAATGGCGACCATTCCGATGGCTATCGTGAATATGGGATCACTTATCGTTTCGTTAATCGGTGTGATAGTGATGGCCAGCGCTCTGGGATATGTACTCATTAACAGGAATAATGTAAACTATTTTCAATTAAGTGATGCATTTCTCTAATTACTTTTGCCATCAGTCGACAACACAAAGCATAGACCAGACAAATAGTGAACGACAAACAACTGATGACAAAGAATCGCAAACTAATGGCAACATTAATACGCCTAAAGAGCGCAAACAGAGTAGACCTGAGAATAGGGCAGTGAATGGTTTCGCTGATAATAGCGACAAACGACACATAAATAGCAAAAGCGAGACAAAAGTGTCAATCGATAGGCTCCACGTGGAAGTCGTGGAGAATCAGACGGCTTCCCAAATACCTGTACAACCGTCGGCTCCAGAGATCGATAGCAATAACAATGCAATGATCTTCACAATAAGTCATCCAAATAATGTCATTCATAAGGATAATGAAATGCAAACACAAAGTCCCACAAAAGTCTCTGTCAAAAGTGGAAAACTCTCGTACAGTCTCAGGCGGGTATCCCCTCCCGGGCCGGTTGAATAAAATTTAGTTATCTTTTGTATCATATAAGGCAATTGAATTTGAAATAAAGTATATTATATTACAGATGTAATAATGAACTCAATTATGATTGAGTTAATGAAATAAATGTCAGACAATAAAAAGAGTTCAGTGTTTGAACAGATTCTGCACTCAATTGTGAAATACTTTTGAAAACTTCATATTTATTTATATAATCATATGTTTGAACTCAATATTATTGTTTCACTTATAGTGTATAAACTATTTGTATTAAAATTATTATGTCATAGAATTTATTTTAATAAAATTATTATCAATTCAGGTGATCTTGCTTATTTAAAACAAAACACACTCAAGATATTATTTTGAATTTTAAATAAGTTAGTAATTATTAAGATAAAATACAACCTTTGAGAAATTTAAGATTTAACAGATTTTAAAATTCATTTAAATCACAAATAATAAAATCAATTATTTAAATAAGAGATTTAAAATTTAAATTATTAACTCGGATAACATTAATTTATTACCTATTTATTTAATAATTACCTTAAATTCTTGGTAATTTTTTATTTTTAATGTTTATATACTACAATAGTACAGAATCTGATATTGGCACACTATATACAGTTTATTTGTATTTGATATTTCAATGTAATATTTGTCAAAATTAATTATTATTAAATTATTGAATTTATATTTATCAAGCAAATAAAATCTTTTTATACATTGTTAACTTTTAAAAATAAATATTATACTTTAATTCTTTTACTGTACTAAAATTCAAGTGAAGTTGATAAGTACTGTACTAAGAGTTTATTTTAGTAGTTTTTTGCGCCATTCATTAAATGGTATTATTGTACAAATTGTATGCATTGATCATTTATTTTCGAGACCATTTGGCAACTGATTAAATAGCAAATTTTAGTTCAATATGAATTGTATTCATTTATGATTTCAATGTTTTCAATTCTAGTTTCTTATTCATTAGTAGCAAATAGATCTTCATATGATTTTTTATTTAATGAAATGAAATGAAAAAAATTAAGTTTTGAGAGCAAGATCACGATTGTATAGTATGTTATCGAAAAATTATGATAAAGTGTTTGCTAATTATATTAATTATGACTATTATTATGAATTGCGCACAAGGAGGTCAGTTTAATAACATATATTTTGTTTTATTATAACAAAACTATAATTAATTTGAAATGTTTTAAAGAAACGACAGAAAGATCAGAGATTTTAAAGAAAAATAATAATAGGAATCGAAAGAATAATAATAAAATAATAACAATAATAATAATAATAACCGAAACAAATCTCGGGCTCAGAGGGCGTCGGGCACTTCAACTGGCTTTTGGCCCAATGGTATGGTTTACTACAAAATCGACAGTTCCTTATGTAAGTGACCACTGGAACGGGTGTTTTGTTTACTAAATTATATATTATACTTATAATTGTTTGACAGCTTCCCATCGGGCACTCATACAGAATGCTATGAAAAACATACAGTCCCGGTCGTGTATTAGGTTTAAACAGAGAACCAGTCAAACAAATTATATACAATTCTTTAGAGGGGACGGGTATGTATACAATTTCTATTACGTGGATTATATTTCAATTTAATTATATTTTCATGGTTTATTTATAACCTAGTATATATTTGAAAAACTTTTATTATGTATTTTTATTTAACAAACTTATTGATATAAATTATACCCAGGTGCTATTCATCAGTGGGACGAGTGGGTGGCCGTCAATATCTATCGCTAGGAAATGGATGTCACGATATCGGGAGTGCGATGCATGAGATACTACACGCGCTGGGCTTTTATCACGAGCACATGCGGTCCGATAGAGACAACTACCTGACCATCCATTGGAATAACATTGAGAACGGTATGGCCGACCAGTTCACCAAAGTGTCCAACTCCAAAAACAAATTGTACACAAAGTTTGACTACAACTCAATCATGATATACGGCGCCAAAGCCTTCAGTAAAAACGGCAAAAACACAATGACTCCCAAACAGAAAGGGGCCAGGATCATTGAGTCGCATTATAAACGCAATTTGAGTCCATTGGATGTCCAGACACTGAACGCTATGTATAAATGTAAATAATGTCCTTGTCCATTATGTAGCTAACGCTGATGTGAAATAAATTGTTCATTTAATCAAATGGATTTTTTGTTTTATTTGTTTAATATTACACATTAAGTTGTAAAAGTGGTACATGACCAAATGAATTCATTTTCAGTATAGATAAACTAATTTTTCATATCTCATCCTGTCTATTTATTAATATACCTATTTATGGGGCTTAATATGCTTCATCATTAAGTTGGAAATAAGTTTGCTTTTAAAATATTTAATTATATAAATTATTTATATGGTATGAATTATTAATTACGAATATTTGGACTAAAAATATAACCGTAATATTTTTTATCCAACATTAAAAGTTGCTTTGTAACAATTTACAACTCTCTAACTAATTATCAGAAAGTAATTATGTTGTAAACATTACAGTAGTTGTCTATTTACTTACGCATACAATTACTCTTAATAAACCTAGAACAAAATAAATGTTTTTATAAATGTTTAAACTATTTGACTTGCTTTAATCATGAATATGAATAAACTGTCTTTAGTATTATGCACGCACCTATTTTGTTTTATGATTAGATTTTACTGTAACATTATTTTAAAATGCTAAAAATGAGTAAAACGATTTAGTAGTACTGTATAAGAATTTAAATTTTTTGAATTAAACTTATATTATTTCTATTTGTTTATATCAAATTATCAATAACTGTTGTTTATATTTTATATAGAATTACACTTGAATTTATATAGAATATTCTTGAAATAATCACTTGTTACTTTTATAATTTAAATACTTTTACTAGTATACGTTTATCTATATTATAGGAAATATTTTTGTTACCATTATTGTTACATTACCATTCTTTTAACCTTTTTATTTTTATTGATTTGCTTATTTAAATGTAAAGTCATAACTAATTTAGTACATTTCATTAGTGCCTTTTTAAGTGAGTTATAATTAAATTTAATTATTCATTTATATAAAAAAATCCTACAAAATGAAGTATGAAATTAAAAAATTTAAGTTATTTAATTTAGAGATAATGCTTTAATAATTTTTTAATGGTTGAATAAATATAGTTTTGAAGTACCGGTATTTATTTTAGACATTTACAAACTATTATGCAAATATAATAAATATTTAATCCGATTACCACTACTTAAAAAACATTTCAATGAAGTAATAGAAAAGGTAATTTATATTTAATATTATATAATTTATGAGAAAACTAAGCAACATTAAATTAAAATATTTATAGATAAATCATTTTAGGTTTAATATTACTATATTATATATTTATAATATTATAATAAATATATATGTTTAACCAATAGAGTGAAAGATTTCTAAAGTTGCCTGAATTAAAACTAAATCTAGTAATCTACAGTATATTTCATCATTTTATTAATTATTATAAAATATTTCAATTTCTACACCTGTTATCTCTATAAATATCACATACAAATATAATAAGTTACTGTATATACATAATATTCACAAATGACAGATTTTTCACTGAAATAACTATAGTATAGTACAGTATATTTAATGTTGATTTAAGTAACATTAAGTATCATTAAGCACTAAAAGAAAATTGATAAATAAAAGTTAAATAATCTACATACACACAATATTTTGAAAAATTAATTTTGTTATTTAATTAAA